ACCAAATCTTGGTAATGTACAATTGTAGAACCATTGTGTTGTCATGAAAAATGATTGATTTGAAATTGAAATATGATTTAAATAGAATTGATAACGTTCAACTACATCCATAGGTGCTGACCAAAGATATAATTGTTGACTAGTAATATTTTGTTCATAAAGTTGATTAAAAGTAAATTTTTGATCAAGATTATTTTCTTCAATATTCCATTTTGATGACCATTCAGTTAAACAATAAGAGATAATTTGATGAATATTATTTTCTTTTTCGATAGAAGCAGGAACATAAAGACAATCATGTTGAAATACAACATTAGTCTTATTATCAATTACCTCATCGGTAAGATGAAGATTAATTTGAGGTGAACCAATTACCGAATTTATTAGAATAACATAGAGAAAATTTTTAACGAAGGACATCGTTTAGATCTATAGCAATTCTAAATGAATGCAATGTAATGAGTTTTATCTGTTATTTATATATCTCTCTCTGTGTGTTTCAAAAAAGAAAGTTGACTTAGAATGTTTTTTCTATCAAAAATTGTCGTTGATATTACTAAGAGCCATTTGTTCCTGCATCCTTTTTGAAAATTTTTTGTACACTTTCGTGATATCATATGGCATCATTATATGATAATTCACATCTGTCATCATTTTAGACAGAAACGGATCTCAGAAAGGAACTAAGCCTAATGTTTTATCTATCTTTTTTTTGTTGCAAATGCTTGGACAAATATTAGATTTAATTGACTTTCCAACTCACTTACATTGTTATTGAAATGATTACTGCTGTTAAACAACACTATAAATATATCTTTTATTCAGCACTGTGCGACAGTAACATTTATCTTAACATTTAACGAAATAAGATTGAAAGATAATTGAGAATGAGATAACTTTTGAGAAGCGATTAGACTCATTTCAAGAGATAAAATCAAGCAAATAGCTGAAGATTAATTTTGAAATAAGAATAATCAATATCATCTATATCTTTAAATTCTTGTTATTCTTAAATTTTAAAAATAGAGAATATGATATAAATTAAATGAAAAATATTTTCTTCGTATCAAAAGAATTAGTATATCAGATGGGAGGTTCTGATGTTGTATTTATTCAGTTATATACTTATTAGAAGAGAAAAAGAAAAAAAAAACAATATGCATCAAAGTTAGTGATAAACAATTTTATAAAGAGAATTAGTGAGACATATGTGCAAAAACAAAGAAGAGAAACAGACAACTAAATGAATAGTTATCCTTTATCACATATATTAAGGTTTTTTTTGTTTGAACAAAAATGAAAGTTTAAAATATCTTAAAATTAATGATAAATATCATCTAAATCAAGCTTAATTTTATTCGTAGAATATCGTTTTGTTATTTGTTCATATGTGAAAAAACAAAAAAATTTTCTGATATATAAAAAAAGTCAATAGATGATACTAAAGTAGAATAATAGTTATTGACACTTTTGAAATTTTCATATTCAATCAATATAATAATCATTTGTCCTGTTCTTTGGCAACCAATGTATTGTATTAAATAAGACAGTAAAAACTGTAAATGATATAAATAATGAGACAGACCTTTTTTGCAATTGAATTCATACTGTGATTGTGAGAATCAAAAATTAAAATATTTGAATAAACAAAGAGAAAATACATGAAGAATAAAAAGTGATCTTAATAAAAATGTCTATTTATATGTATTTGATGGTGGAAACTGTTCATTTCCTGTAACCATAGGATACTAAATGTTTCTCAACATTTTCTATTCAAAACTATATTCAGTAGAGATTTATTTATACATATCAGTATTCAATATCTCCTCGTAAGGTTAATATAGGTAATTTTGGATTCATAGGTCAACGTTAGATTGAGAGAAAGACTAATGAGGAAGTATTTCCAAATATTCAAACTATGTTTACTCTATCTTGATGCGAGGATTACCAAGACTTGTTTATGAACAGAATATAATGTATTCTGACTACGTCTAAAGAAAACTATAGTTCCGAAGAACAGATTCTCAATCTCACTATCATCCTTTGTATATGATATCGAAATGAATACTGGATTTTATATCAAAATCATAAAAATTGTAGCATAAGTATGTCTTGGAAACTCTGAGAAAAGTTTAAAAACATTCTCTTGACAGTGAGATCAATCTAACAAAATCGTTTCAAATCGGCAATATATCAATCGATTCTTTTTCTCTAAGCCTCCCTAAAAACAAAATCTCTTGCAGTTTCACTTTGTTGTTTTCTCAAAAACATGATCTCCGTCCTATTAAATAGAATTGAGCTAAAACTTTTTGAACATTGCCGGGGTAGGTCTCTCTTACACCACCGAAAATTCCAGTGCTGTACTTCTTCATCTTCTAGAGACAGAAAAATTTTATTACACATGTCTTTTGATGTGAAATTTATTGTTAGAACTTTTTGCATCTCTAACGTTGTTTCTATGACTGCATTGAAGGTGAGTACGAGCTATAACAAAGTGTTTCGTTTCGGTAAAGGATCTCATCACGTCGTTGGTATTGTGGATACTCTTAAGATAGAGTCACCTTTTTTGTCTTCTCGAGAGGGTGTGAGTGGATGTATTTTATGCTGACACTCACACCCACACCCCGAGCTATTTCTGATAAATCTCCTTATCGAATATGGGAAATTTGAAGTTATTTATAAATTTGAGATACAAACAAGTTCAATTTCTTTCAAAATTAATCAATGTTTATCGGATGGAAGTTGTTCAACTAATCCTTATAATGGTACAACAACAACATTATTGTCTATTTCTTGTTTAAATTGATTTGATGAACATGAAATTAAAGATTATTCATTTTATGGCTGATTTTTTTTCCTTTATAATAAAGAAAACAATTTTTGTTTTCTTGTTTTAGTTTGGACAAATGATTTTTCCAAACGATTGATAATTGGATTTACATCAGTATTTGACATTGAAGTTCGATTACCATCTGGAAATAATTCAACATTTTTAATCAATATCAATAGGGTGTGGGTGTCAATGTACATAAGAAAACATTCACATCCACACCTATCCCAATATGATTGCAACTTTTTGCGCTTATGTTTTATTCATAAGAATGAGACCACTAGCTTAGCACAACATCCAAAGAATTCTTTTGTTTTGTTGCGATTTGATCGAGATATAAGTATTTCAAAACACAGGAATGTTCATAAAGTTATTAAAATATGGAAAATCATGTGCTTTTTAAAATATTCATATCTCGATTAAATCTCAGTAGAACAAAAAACTCTTTAGAGATTGTGATAAGTAGTTAACTAGATAAGGAAAGTACGAAAAGAAAGTTTTTTCAAAAATGTGACACGCTTTTAACGGGTTAATCCTATACATAAATCTACCGTCAATGACGATATCTGCATATTGACCAGCCAATTGATGATATATCTAGTTAAGGCGACAGAATGTAATGGCGAGAGTGTTATTGATTTTTTCCTGCTCATTACTATAATTTCGTCATCATATTTTCGTTATTTTTATTTTCTCTAGAAGATTATACCTGTTTTATATCAAAAGCATGCAGCATAGGTCGAATGCAATAGGCGATGAACATTATCGTTGCGTCTCATCAAATTATGTGAAATATTCTCTGTTGATATGTTTTTGAGTTATCATGATATATTCATCAATAAAATATGTTGAAGAAGTGTTCTTGAACGTGCTTGACAATGTTTCTGCGATTATCTACAATGTTTTCTCGTTTAGAGTCCGAAAGGTAGCCGTTTGAGACGGATAAAAAAAACGGATACTTTCAGATTATTCACAAAAAATCTCTGCGCTGTTGGCTTGATTATTATATTGAAGATCGGTATCATTGTTGAAGTATCTCAAATAATATTTGTAAATATCACTTGAAGTTATATGTCCAACCAATGTAAAATTTTTTACAATAACTTTCTTTTTAATACCGCATTGAATTAATGATTTAAATGTATTTAGAGATTTTATACTAGCATAATCGCCGAGAGTACCAATACCTTTTAGAAAACAAATAAACATGATCTAAAATCTTAAAATATTAACTTAGAAGTCAATAGAACATTTATGATCCAGTCGATATCAGCTATTATCGATACTTAGGAAGTGCTCTCGATGAACATTCGCAGGTCTTGCTCAATTTAAGATATGTTATAGAAGTTACAATCTTGCATATTGCCACGAAGTTGTTTTTAGAAATACTGGAACTCCGATTTTCTACGATTATTTTAACGAAAAGCGTTGAATATAAAGATTCTGTGCTAAGGGTGGGGGCGCATTATAGAATATATATCAAGAATGGTTTGATTGATCGAACTGAATTTTATGATAACTATATACGTGAATGAGTTTGACTGGCAAAAAAAGATTTGCAACCGAAATGATGGAGCTATTAATATTTTATGTATCTCATTTATAGAGACAAAACTCACTATCTCAGATGACTTTGGGTTCTATATCTCATGACTCGAAAGAAATAGAGGCATGAAAAATTTATTATGGCTAAAACTGATAAAAATCTGTCTTAACTAAAAATTCCAGTTCCGTAAAGCTTTTCATTCATTCAAGAGAACCTTATCACAAGTGGATTTTTGACAATATCTAGATTTTCTGTCGACATTGCCTGCCAAGAAATTCGTCGCATTGGGATCTGAAATTAAGGTAACCAAAGATTCATATATAGTCTACAACCTCATGAAAGAATTAGCGTTGAGTTTCTAGCAAGATCTCAGTGAATGACTTATCCTTAAGAATTACAAATAGAAAGAGAATATTCTGCATTGGATCCTATTTGGTCATAAAATATCGTCTTAATCATTGTATTCGGTTAACTTTAGATGAAAAACATCATGATCATAGCTTTTTATTCCTATTTCAAAGTTACTTTTCCGAAAGAAGCCAAGAAGCTTATATACAACACAGAAGAATGAATATCTTTATGATAATGACAAAAAAATGCTGCTGCGAATGATTCTTTACAAAATTTTGGTCGATCACTACAACCGTGATACTCTGATCTCGGCAACCATAGACAGTTATTTACAGATAAATGGCCTTCTCGATGTACACCAATTGTAGAACAATTAAACAAATGGTATTATTCTGTCTTTGTTTCTACCTCTCTCTGTGGTCTATCAGAATTTCTCAAGTTCCCGTGAAATTTAGTAGTAAGTCTCTTACCAACTCTAACTACACATCAAGATTCATCTAAGTTTTTAATTAATTTTACAAAGAGAAACACAGACCAAGATTAAATTGGTAATAATCTATGATGCATTGTTTTAGAAAGTTAAAAGCAGGATTTATTCTTACCCAAAGATATGTAATTATAACCGACACAGTGTGCACCACGATATATCCATCCTCTACCTCTATAAATTTGTTGTTGATTATCATTATCATTACATATGAGAAAATTATAACCAATATCAGCCCAACCTAGTTCACCCATTTGCATAACTTGAACATCTTTTATTTCTTTAATACAATCTTGCTGATTCTCAACTGATGTCAAATCTGTTAACTGTCTTATAACAATATGTGTGACTGGGAATGTTCTTAAATCCTCACGCAATACATACTGCCGTGCATTCCAGCTAGATCGATTTAATATATTGGGACAGCCTACAAAAAATATGTATAAAAAATATTTATTTTGTACTAGTTCAAGAAAGAATAATTTAGGATAAATATATCAAGTTTTATAAATCTGTCAACTGCAACATCAGTTGAGTGTGGATCTGGGTCTTGGTATGGGTGTGTGGTGGTATGAGGATATGGACGAGCATAAGGGCGTGAATATAGTTCAGAAGAAGAAACCTACATCCATACCCCAAGTAAACAGATGGTTTCTTTCTCCGAGTTTTCAGCTTGTTACTAGTGCCTGGAAACTAGTAGTAAATCAGCAACACTGGCAAGATGTTTGCAAGTGCCTATGATTGTGTTTTCTGTGTCTTTCTGGTTTCCAGAAAATTCATAAACTAATGGCAGTGAATTCCTTATTGTTTAACGTGTTGAGTTTCCAGAAAATCTAAAGTTCGACAGTGACATCCCTGAAATCGAAGAAGTGGTGAGGAGATTTCACATTTTTGCTTGTTTTATAGTATGAATTTTACCTGGTGGTGATTCGTAGTCCAGAATATCACCTGTTTCTGATGTAGTCGTTGTGTGGTTTATACTATTTTGTGTGGAATTTTTTTTAACAACAAAAACAAAGATGAATGTAAAAGTTAATGCCAAAAGAATAGCTAATATCAATAGTCCAATGATTCCATATAAACGATATTTTCGTTGTTTAAATTTTACATATTCTTTGATATCTTTGATATCAATATTAGATGATGACAATGATGATGATCTTGATGCTTTATCACCTGAAAATTTAAGAAACAGAATTGAAAGTAGAAATTTTCTTTAAAACATTCAAGAAAAAAGCATAGTACTCGTCTTTTCTGATTCATTTTTATCATCAATTGGATCTTCACATTCTTCTAATTCAATTTCAATTGAAATTGATGCTGTTGAATCATCAAGATAATTCCGTTTAATTGCTATTACTTTAAAAACTGTAAATGGAATAATTAAAATTTCTTTTTCATCTGGTCTCATGGATAAATTTTGTATATTCACAGCTGTTGAACTTTGTTTTATTAAATATTGACATAAACATGAATATTGTAATGCACAATGATTTTTAGGTGTATATCTCATTTGAGATTGTTGACCTTCACCAGCAAACATCATAGCTACTTGACGATCAGTAGATGATGATAAAAATGCCCGATTTAATATATGTTGATTTAATTGATATTGATCTAAATCATTTTGTGTTATTTTCATACCACGATAACATATACCTTGATATTGATATTGAGGTAAATTTGGATGATAAATTAAGAGTGTAACAATATGTACAAGACAATTTACAAGACGATAATTTGATGAAAATGTTTTTGTTGTATCAAAATATTCTAATATATAGAGAGCTAAATTTTTATTTAATACTTTATAAAAAAAATCTGTTAATGTATAAGCTTTGATAAAATACGTTAAATAATCTTGTTTTTCTATAGCTTCTTTAAAGTATGCTTCAATAGTTTCAATTTGTTTACGAGTAATTTGATCTTCCGGATTATCAATATCATTACTTTGATTTACCAGATATTCATTTAAATAATAATGAATAACTTCAGCTAATAATTTTGATACTAAATGATGACTATCATAGGTTTTGTATAAATCAATAGCTTCACGAAATTCACGTCGTTTTCCAAGAAGATCATCGCCTACTATTGACCATTCAATATAATCATAATCATTATTTGAAAATAATTTTCGTTGTTCTAAAAGCAATTGTTTTATATCATCTGTTTGAGCTTCTTCATAAGGTGTTAAATTGTGTCGTAAATTTCTTATAGAATGTAGAGCTCCATATTCTAATAAAATTTGTACCATATCTCGATGTCCATAATAGCATGCTACATGTAAACATGTTGAACCGGTTGAATTTTGAATTTTATTTATAATATTTATATTGCCAATAAATGGTAAAAGACTTCGAACTTTTTCTATTTCATTTTCTTTACACAAATTATACAATAAATCAATGATATTTGAATCATTGTCGTTATTAGTTGATGAGAATGGCAATAACATTATAATGAGAACGAAGGATAGAATTTCGAATAAATACGAATGTATTTTTACATGCTTTATGTGTTACTAATTATAAAGAAACTATAAGAAGAATGTTTTAAAATATCAACTTTTCTCTTGATATTTCTTTTTTTACAATAAAAAATTCATAATGGTGATAGAAATGCAGCGATACTTGCTAAAAGAATAGAACAATAACTTCGGCTTTACTTTCTTATCTGAGTTGTTTTTGCATTTGTACAGAAGAGAATAATATTTACATTTAAACTAGGGTTGCGAACTTTTTTGCTTTTTCCTGCTGTTCTCCTTTTCATAATGTCTTATGAAGAAACTTTTCGATTAAACTAACTTTTTCTGTCACAAAAAATCACCGCGCAACAGTTCTAGATTGCTGATCGCGCCACTTATCTGACAATTTTACACTACAGAAAGATCTGTCAACTTAAGAAAAAGAAAATTTTACAATAGAATTAGTTCTCTCTGAAAGGGACTTATATTGGAAGCTGTAAATAATATCGTATGGGACTCAATTCAAATCCTGTTCCACTCTATTTCTAGGGAAATTTTTATTTACGATATACCAAAATTAACTAGATTTCAAGCAAAAAGATACAGAAACGAGTTAAATCATGTGTTGTTCCACGATATAGTGAAGACCCTTAGTTCTTGTAATATATATGTAATAACATTTTTGGAACATTTTTTAAAGTGTATTTCTTAGAACTATCTTTGTCAGGGAAATCCCTTATTTTGGTTATGAAATGATACAACAATTCTTGTAATTGTGACAAGAGAGATCTCAATAAATGGAAGAGATTTTTATTCTCATATATCAGTCATAAGTAGAACGACATAAGTCCAGAAACACTATAAAAAGGTGAATGTTCGAAGATCGTTCTTTCACAGTTTTTACTTAAAGTAGTAATAGCTGTGGAAGAACGATCTTTGAACATTTATTTTTTTGTAGTATTTCTGAACTTATATTGTTCTACTTATGTCTCACATATGAGAATAAAAATCTCTTCCATTTATTGAGATCTAGCTTGTCACAATCATGAGAATTGTTGCATCATTCTATAACTAAAATAAGGAAGTCCTCCGACAAAGATAGTTCTAAGAAATACTCCTTACAGAACATTTCAAAAATGTTATTGCGTATATATAAGAAGGATTAAGGATCTCCACTATATTGTAGAACAACTCATGATTTAACTCGTTTCTGTATCTTTTTGCTCGAAATTTCATCAAGTCTTGTATATCTGAAGTAGTTTTTGAGATCAAAAATCATTATTTCTTAGTTCCACTTTATCAAAAAATAGTTCTGTATCTGATAGGATTATGTGTTCTCACATTCTCTTAGTTCAACAAATTTTGTCTTAAGTTTTACTTATATATTCTAAACATGAAATTATATAACTAGACAATTTTGTAAAAATCTCGTCCTTCTCTCTCCAGGGTTGTCTTAATTCTCTCGATTTACTACTCTCGGAAAAGAGCGATAATCCAGAAAACATTTTTCAAAGGTAGGTGTGAGTTGCCTAATGCGAGTTCGGATATAAATGGAGCTTGGGAAGCTGAATGCCACTTAGAAAACAAATGAAAAAAAAACAAGCAGCCTTGCACTAGCCAAAAACCTAAAGATAAATTTTATCTCAATTATAATTTATGGTCCAGATAAAAATTTATCTTTGGTTGTTCTAACTTGATAGTCTTATCCAAATTATAATTTATGATTCAGATAAATTTTATCTTTGACTGTTCAGCTGTGCTAACATGATAGCCTTATCCGAATTATGAATTATAATTCAGATAAAATTTATCAATAGCTGTTTTACTGTTCTAACAAGATAACCTTAACTCAGTTATTATTACTAGTCTAGATAAAATTTATCTTTGATTGTTCAGCTGTTGTAACATAATAGCCTTATCTCAATTGTAATTTATAATTCAGATAAAAATTAATCTTTGACTTTTTAGCTACAATGGTGCCGATAAAGTTTTGGAAAATTTGGCTCATTGTCGAACTCCGAATCAGGTGTCTACTCAAGACGGAAGTGTATTGGAAAGAGAACTTTGAAGAGCAAAATTCGGGGCTGAGAATGTGAGTGTAGATATGGACCTGGGTTTGACAGAAGAAAAGACATACATCGCAACCACGCCTTCTTCATGCACTTTTGGGACGTACAATGAGTATTTAAAAGCACTCTTACATGTAGGAAGGAGACAAATTAATGGCCGTCCAATCATGTCTGAATTTATCATTTTCAGTAGAATAGACTCACTATAAGAAATAGTGTTCGTTGTTGTAGATTTCATTTTCTTTTGAACTGCATCGTTCGAACCCGGAGGACAAACACAGTTTGAAGTGTCACTATGTTTGCGAACAGGAGTGATCACATGTACGGCATTTTATCCGTTAAACAGTATGATATAGCAACTCGCCTGCATCGGTCCAATCAAGTTCAGATTGGTGCTTACACTCTAAAAAAATCCGTTTCCAAGTAAACCCAAACCCATTCAGAAACTCTTAGAGGTTTCCGAAACGGTTTTCGATCTTCTGCAGCGTTTCCAAAAATCCTTTCTTGGTGAGGGTATGAGTGTCAGTGTCAGTGTAAGTATGTATGAATGCGGATGCGTGAGGATGTGGATGTGGGTGGGTGGATGGGTGTGGGTCTTGGTCTCGGTCTTCTTTTTACACTCGCACTCGCACACCCACACCCATGCCTGGATGTAGTCAATGTAAGCGGAAATCCACTTCTGACTTCCCTTGATGCCTTCAATGGAAGCATCAGATGAAACGATCGATTGTACACAACTATGGAATCACATCTCTTCTACGCGAACTGCCTGTGTTGTCAGAACTTGATTTGAATTCCAACAGTCTTACCTCTCTGTTCGGTATTGGCACAATTAGTACAAATGACTATTCATGGACATCTTTCATATTTCGAGATAATCGAATCGAATCGGTCCCATCTGAAATATCGACATGTGTACTGAGGTTAATCGGTTTTACCAGTAATAAGCTCACCTCTCTTCCCGATGAAATTTATAAAATATTGCTTTCGTACTTAAAAGCTCAGAATAACCACTTTAGTAACGATGAAATCAAATGGAGTACGGGTCTATTTCGAGCGAAGTCAGGCACTCTCGAATTATGATCATGGTAGACATTTGAGCAGTGTGACATCCATCACTGAGAAGAAATAAATTGTATCAACATCTAACGACATCACATGTTTGTTATATATTGAACTCGACGACCATAAAAAATGTCTACTAAAAAAAGAATTCTGAAAGAGAGTGACAACAAGAAACATGAGCTAGCTAGTTGCTTCATCGTCACATAGTGCACACGTCAACAACATGAGGCACTTTTTCAATATGAAGGCAAAAAAAAGAATGAAATCCGTTTCGTAATAGATTCTCTAGTGAGCATGATTATTTTTGATGGTTATGCTCTATTGCACCATTTACCTCAAAAGTGAAGACCTAAGAGACGTCGAGAAATTGCTAACTATAAGGCACTTTGCACTGCTTTTCCTAAACGAAATGTTCACTGAAGAAATACAGATCAATGAGATTTCGCATTAGATTTTCATGGGGATGTGAGGCAATCAAAAAACGGATTGACCTGTATATGTAGGACACAAATCAACCTGCTGATCTCAACTGTTACTTTTCAGCAATCGACCTTATCGATAGAATTTACAGAATAAATGTTGTGCTTAAGTTAAAACTAATTAAATAAATGCAGAATTAATTCGCTACTTGCCCACTGTACACCATTTTAATGTATAACCTACGATGCAAAAATTTTCCACACAAATGTCGAGGTCTGTAGCATTTCAACAGAAGGTGTTAGAAATTTAATTCTTTCGCAGTTAGATAGAGCAAAGTCTCTTCTTTAAAATGCATAGCTTGAAAAAAATTTAATGACGTTAAGACGTCTCAAATTAATTTTTCCTAAATCTGGCAAAAATGACCTGTAATCCTTTCAATTTTTTCGCTCTTTTTTAATTTATAAACTGGATGTGAGTATGAGCGTCGGTGTGGATGTTTGTTGTGAGGGTATGACTGTGCATGTGAATGTGAATGTTCTTTTCGATCACACCCACACCCACCATTTTCAACGTGCTTCAACGATCAAATCTTGAAATAAACCGTCTCAGCTCTTGAAAATTATGATACAATCCTGAGAAATGAACTTGATCAAAACTTTTTATTGTTTAGGAACTCATACATTTTATTTGAATATTTTCTTCGTTAATTTTTTTCACGGTAAACCATATATCTATGATCGAAAACGGCCACTGCGAAGAAATAGACTGCATCGGGCACTTTGTTAGAAAAGACTTGCAAATTGTACTTGATGGCCGACGCGGTGACCTTGAATTTTGCTAGTACCTCGCGACTCTGTTCATCCCGTATTTCATCGCTAGAGAAAACTTTGCTTTTGATTACAATGTGCTTTCCATTCCAATTGATCTTGTATTTGAAGCCGATTAATTGAGAAATTTCTGTGATAGTTCCATCTATCCATTGATTAGAGCGGCTATCAAGAATGGAAAACGTTGCATTCTTAATTTCCTCTCTCCATTCGCCTTCAAGATTCGCCACGAGTTCTTCCGATGGATAGGCAATAAGTACGACAGCGTGAATGTCGGAATCGTAAGTCTTGATACGATATTGAAGTTGTTTTCCGGTGGAATCGAAAATTGAATATTCAGGCAGTCTGAAGTCTGGCATGATATTATCTTTATGCATGACATAAGTGCGAAGAGCACGTTTTGATTGAATGGAAGCAATGATGGTAGTCAACAGTAGCAATGTGTAAGTGATACAAATGCTTGACATCATGTTAATGTGAAAGAAATGATAGACTTGTACATGTAAGAGAAGAAGACACGATATATATATATATATATATCGTCAATATTGATGTTGACTCTTGCGACAAGTACTCGTTGCTGGCTCTTAGACCGACATGAATACAGTCTCGATGAATAATTCTTTTATTTCATACAAAGGAAAGCAAATTGCTTCTCATTAAATACAGAAGATTACCTCGAGAAGTTTGTCTTTCTGATAAATGCGAGAACGAGTATTCTTGTTCTTTGATGCCACTATTTTTTTCCATTCATTCAATAAAATAAAATTCATCATATTTCTTCGTATAAAATAATGTTTAATATTGTTGGGTCATAAATAAATTTCGCAGCTGGTATCGAGTTTCATTCAACAAAGGATTCACTTTCGTCGTCTACTCACGCAAATAAGAATAACAGCAGAAATCAACTCGAATAATAACTTCGTAAAATAATTAATTTTTTTTAAAGGCTGTTTTATTTTAATTATTCCAATATTTTACTTAGTAAATTGATTTTATCAAAATCTACATTTGATGAAGAACTCTAAGACAAAGATTATTTATTAATTCCTAAAAACATCTCAACAAGACATAATGCATCATGAAACAGAAAAAATTGTTTTATATCGACAACCAATAAATACTATTCATTATTATTTACTTAAAATCATCTACCTGATCCATCATTATTTTAAATATTTAAGATCTTATCACAAGACATTATTTCTCTTGAATATTTTATTATTAATCTTATTCGTTTATGAATTTGAAGGTTCACATCAGAAAAGTATTCAGTAAATCGAAACGTTTTTTTTTTTGACATAAATTACTTTAATACATATATTGAATTGGGTGTGGCTGTCGTGTGAGAGTTCATCTTATGTTAACCCAAACCTATATCCACACCCACACCCTTTTAATTGTTTTGATTGCTCATTTAGTGTGGGTGTGCTTGTAAGTATAGGTGTCAGTGAACACAATAACCACATTCATACCCATACCATAATCTATTATATTCTGTATGATCGATTGAATTTCATCTATATGTGCGTGAAGGATTGATTGAAGTAGATGAAAAGGACTAGTTCTTGATGATCAGATCAATTCTTGACCAAAGATAAAATGAAGTTAAATATTTGTCATTCAATGACACACTTTATTGTAACATATTCAAAAACGTGTGATTTGTTGTTTATGGTATTTTATTCATATTATGTCCATTCTCGTTTGCACTGATACTATTTTCTTGCATGATCGATAATACTTATTTGATAAAATCTTTGTTGAGTTAAACCTTATCCTTTAAGACGTTTTCATCGTAGATCTTAAGAATGTGAATCTCTGAGAGATTCAGAAACTGTCAACGAAGTGATATCTCAGAATTGACTGAGTTTTTGATATGTTATAGGGAACAGCAAGTTATATACTCTCTGAAATTTTAAGCTCGGTCCGACGAGTTTTCGCGTTAAAATTACTCAAAAGAAAAATCGTTTTTCTTTATAGTAATTTGCTCTCGATTTGAGAATGGTAAGGGTGGAAATGAGGGTGAGAAAATGGTCATCAGCCTCACCTTCACTCATCCTCAAATATTATCACGAACGAACAAGGTACTTGTCTATTGGCTATTTGTAAAGATCAATCTTGACTTAATTATTAAGTTTTAATCAGATTCTTTGTCAAATCAAACATTACAATCAACGAAAATCATCTATCGTTATAGTTGAATGTTAATTAATCATTACAGATCAGAATAAAACTTCAATAAACAGTTAGAATTTGTTTCTTGATAGATATTTGGTCATGTCTACCAATGATCATAGAAATCAAAATGATCGGTTTGATGATCGACATTCAAACAATTTTTCAAAGATGAATCAAATGTTTGATAGAAATCAATTAGATTAGGAGGAAAATCTTTTCCATGTTTATCAAACATTATTACAAATCAATCTCATTTATAACGACAAATGTAAAGAATAGTTTTACCTTCACTCGATCAAACATAGTTGATGTTCTTGAAACTATTTAATATTTTTTTCATGAAAAAATGGCTTCTCTACATTCACATACAACTCATTTTCCGAGTCTTCTTCTTCTCATTCAATGTAAAATTGATCAAATCGAATCCGATTATGATCCTGAAATCTCTTGATAATGATCGATCATTTCTCAAATCTAAAATACTGACAGTCAATCAAATGCATTGACTTTTGTTCTTTGAACATTTTTGTCTCCAACTAAATCTTATTTTCATAGATAAGAAACAAATCATCTGTAGTAAGTTGATATCAAAAGATTGACCTACTGCTGTCATATCACTTCTACTCGTCTTCATCATTGAATAAAGAGACAAGATTTCGAACTTGAAAAGAGATTTGATCAAAATAAAAAGATATTTTCGTCTGATTTATTTCTAAAGAGTTTAAAAGTCTATGGTATTAGATTCAGATGAAGAATAGAAATCAAATATGAAATCATTTCGAACATATTAGAAATAAACATTATGAAAATAATTTGGAAAAATTCCTATTGAAACTAGTTTTGATAAGTATGTTAATTGATGCATACTTTAAAATACAGATTTTCAAAAAATATATTAACAAGAAAAAGAATTGAAGAATTTTCTCAACAATAGACAAAGTCTTTTAAACTAATGAACAATCACAGAAATCTTTATAATATATTCATCGCGTCGTTTTCTCAATTTCACAAGTCTTATTCTTCAATGTATAATCGAGAAAATAATGAAGAAACATAGACATGAAATTGAAGATTTTCTCGTATTTCATCAGTTTGAAAAAGTCTATCGTTTTGATATTCAATGAAACAACAAAACATCTATCATGTAAAGTTTTTTTGTACTTGATGATAATCACAAATCATCATTTTCTATCACTATGAAGAATCCGATAATCGCTAATGATATGAATGAAGAAATTGAAAAGTGTCTATTAGTCACTGGAGTTTTGTTTCAATCCATTGATGAATATTGTTAACCGTATCCCTTGCTTCACGAAAATAAGCAAAAAAGAGCGGATGAACATGCATTAAATGTTCTCCAACATCAAATGTGACATCAACACATTCCGATTGTGCTTTGTCAACTATCTGTCTGGCATCATCTTCCAAAACTTATTCTGTGCCTACTGTAATATATAATGGAGGAAAATCTTTGAATGAACCAAACAATGAACTATGAAAACAATCATTTCGAGCTATTTGAGAATGATTTGGACCCAAGATTTGTTCAATCTGTCAAGTCATTAGTTCAATACGAGCCACAACATCAGTGAGATGATTACGTGTAAAACTCTCACCAGAAAATGACAAATCTGTAAATGGAGAAAGGATAATAGTTGCACAAGGTTTTGGTAAGTTATGAGCAAGAATCGCTTGAACAGTCAATAGAGTAAGACCTCCACCGATTGAATCGCCCATTATAATAAGACGAGATGAAGAAATACCATCTCGAAGAAGTAAACGATAGAGTGTAAGACTATCATCAACAGCTGCTGGTAAGAGATATTCCGGTACAAGAGGATATTCCAAATGGACGACAGTCATGTTAAACAGATGAGATAGATGACATTCCAATCCACGGTAAGCTATTCAAGAAAAGAAAAATTCTATTTTTATAGAACGAGAGGATCAGAATTTTCTTCGATTCGATAGAAATAGTTATATAAGGAAATCTACTCTGATGAACTATCAGTGAGTATCCTATTTTCAAACAGAAAAAACAAGTTTTCTGATGAAGATCTCGACTTATGTAATGAAATAAAAAGGAATATTTGCTTAATTGTTATTAGAAAGAAAAACAGATCATTATGAAATACTAACTTTGAAAATCTCCTAAAAAATAATCTCCACCATGAAGATAATGTAGAATTCGATCCGGATTTCAATTGATGTTTCCACTGCGATGATATATCCAATAAGTCTCAACTGTTTGTTCTTCATATTCATATATTTGTTTTTTCACTTGACATTGAGCAGGATGAGAAACAATCACATCAAATTGAAATGATGCACGCATTTGTTCGGCTATGTCTAATGAACTAGCCATTGGATCAAATTCAGATCGAGGTGAATGTCGTAGGATACTTTCAAAAGCACGATACTCAGCATTTAACATTGACCGATTTGAATCTGGTATAGAAGTATATGTGATGGTTAATAAAGAATGAATCAAACGAAGATCAAGATATGTAACATTGATCGATTGATAATAGAAATGAATAACTATGGCCAGAAGGAGAATGATTATAGTCAATTTCTTCAAAAATTGATAAGAAACAATTCGAAAAAGCCATTTGCTTCGAAGTAATCAAATGACAATAAGGTTTACTTCGATGTCTACCACTAAATAAATGCATATAGAATAATTTTCAGTGTACCTTTTTAATTTTATGAATGATATGTGTCTTTTTCTTATTCTGTCTCTTACCTTGTTATTATTATTTATATCACCTATTCAAAAAATAAGAAAATAGAACGAAATCACGAAAAATAATCTTGAATGCTTTTGTTTCTTTGTATTGGCACCTAATCCACAACGATCAAATATATCTTTTTTTAAACGTTTTATAGTATGAACAAACACCATCTGTGTTACTGAACATTGGAAGTATTCAATAGATTTCAATATCTGTTTCATGAACTATTAACTACACACTTTCAAATAACGTGCTTAGTTTTCTAAACTTTTCACTTCGAACCTTCGCAAGTGAAGTTGATCGTTAGCTGGTCATAGCCATCTATAAATACAATTAGCACAGAATTCTATACCATCTAATTATTCTTGTGATCTATCAAGGAGGACTAGGCTATGATTTTTCCATAACATTTTGATTTTTCTTTTATGATCACGAAATATCGTAGAATCTATATTCGTACAATCTAAGATTTATGTGAATTTCTGTGCAGAGTACAGTAAAA